TTATTAACTGTTTTTCTTTTTCTATGGTTTCTGGTTGCAAATTGAAATAAATTATATACAGCAATACCTCGCACAGTACGACTTCGATTAGTGCGGTTTCAAACAGACTACTATGCAAAGTATTGATTTTCTACTGATTATTTTTATATAAATTAATGTTATGTATGTTGTTCTAATTATTAGTTTTCTGTCAAAAAACAGGAGTAAATCAATATAAATAAGATTCAACGTATTTCTAAAATTATTAAATTCTTTACATACTAATAACGTTTTCTACATACATATTTTGATACTAATAAAATTATTAATTATTTTTAAAATTATGATTTTTTTTGTTCATAAATCTTTCTTTTAATTAATTAATATCGTTTCTTATTATTTGTATTATATGAAATAAATTCACTTCAAAATAAAAAAAATATAAATTGATTTTTGATATATTTGCATTGAATCGTTATGAAATTGAAACAGTTATAATATTTAAATAAAGTTTGTACTTTTTACTGTAACAAAGCAAAATTAGTTAATTAAAATGTAGTTAATTTTAATTGAGGGGAGGATGATATTGTGAAAGGTAGGGAACACGAAAGAGACGCGCATTGTTCCGCACATATAATTAACAAAGTGTAATAGAAACGGCATGAACCAATCGGGTGTGCTCTTTCCCTCAAAACCATTGTCAATTATTTCTTTGCTGTTTGCCGCGTGCATAGATGTAACAGTGAGGGAAGGGTTTGTGAGCAGAGGTTTCTATGGATTCCTCATGCGAAGACGAAGAAGCAGAAGCTCAAGCTTTTCCACCCCCTTTACACGTTACTACTACTACTACACTCCTCCCTTTCTCGATGGGAATTAATAATTATAGACGCTAATTACCAAAGTTCATACAATGTAAGTAGGTGCTAGACAAAGGGCAAGTTCTGTTCAGAGCCCAAAGGCGAATTTATATCTCCTCCTGGGATCGGCTGTGAAGTTGCGCGCCGCGTTTCTCTTCAGAAGTGGAGGCGGCGGAGGTGGCTGAGACGATGACGATGGAGAAGAGAAGGTGGAGGAAATCGATTCGTTTTACTTTCGAGCCGATGTCCGCTCCGCTCCGCCCGACGTCATCCCTCCAACGATTAATTGATTGATGATATTTCGGACCCGAAATTGTCACTTTGTTTGAAGCCGAATCACAATCAATAACGTCCTGTTTTCGTTTTTCTTCCTACGTCGGCGACTGTCGTCCTCGCACCAGCAAACAAAAATAAGTATAAAAGCATTGGAAGATAATAATATATTGTCAATGACATTATGAACTGTCAAAATGTATATACAAAACACATTTTGTAATGAAATTTGTGCAATGATAAAACCTAAAAGGTGACAAAAACATTTACAGTTAGTTAAATTTTATGAAATAATTTTGTATACATTTAAAGTTAATGGATTATAAGAAACTTTACCTACAAAACTATTTTCTATTTAGGTTAATAATCCTAATATATTAAAATTTCTGGCTCTAATTAAAACATTTTACATATTGATTAAGACGATTAGAACTGATTAAGGTTCATGAATTAGTTATGTCTTATACTAGAATTTATATTCATCATCCATTCAAATTGATTTTTCATTTTACTTTATTTATTTATATATTAACAAATCTCATCTCAAAATTATTATTTAAAGTAAATATTTAAAAAAAAAACTAATAAGAAAATTTCGAAATATGCATATTTATAGTTAATTTGTAACATAAATATTCATGAGTTGTCGGATTTTTAGAAACAAATGACCAAAAGATCAGACGTTGTTATAATAGCTTAATTTAACTATGCATATTCATTATTAAACACAACATAAATCCATTGAATCCTTTCAAAGTCTATGGATTACTTTAGTGAAATGCAAAACAAACCAAAAAGAGGTCGAATTGTTACAATATTTAAATGTAATATAGTCGTCTCGTCTACTCATGCATTAGTTCAAAATAATTTGTACAAATTTCTTAAGAAATAATCAATATTAAATAAATAAGTTCGTAGGATAACATATAGATAGCGCATTTATTGACAAATGATTTTCAAGAAGTACCAACCTTCAGACGTCGCCTGTCAAAATTTCATGGCAATCTGACGTTTAGTTCACAAGTGACAGTGTCAAACAGAACTCTCTACTTGATAAGTAACTTCTACGTGAAATTAGTGTGTACACATCAATTGATATGTAAAATTAACAAATATTTAAAGTATTTTTCTATACTCGACGCTATAATTAACAAGTACTTGATAAGTATTTGGTAACTATCAAATACTTATTTCTCAAATGAAGTAACTATTATGACCTTATTCTTAAAAATTAATAATTTTACATGTGTTAAATTAAGATTAAATTACTAAATTTCAATTGTACCGTGTTATACGATGCTTTTTCATAATTTATTATCGTGTTATTCAAGATTTAGTGTAACTCAAGTACCAATTATGTAAAGGTTGCTTGTATATTAAAACATTGCATTGCTTTGTAAACACATACAGGCAAGAATCAAATAGAAAACTTTTACTATCTACTAAATTCGTGCGTATTTAACATTTGTTTTAATGCATCCACATTCAAATTCATATAAGCATTGTATTTATAATAAATACATAATTTAAATGTATTCGTGTGACGTTTAAAATTGTTTTTGGGCCAGATGCGGCCCGCGGGCCACCAGATTTTGACATAATTTTTTAAGTTGCTTAAATATTGTATTATGTAGGTGTTTCTACCCCTATTCTGTTTTAAAATTTTTAACTTAAAAAATATATTGAAAAAAGCAACGTAAAGCGAGGCATTTAAAAAATAATATTGAAACGTATGATTTAATTTGAAACATTTACTTATAGATTCGTATGATTTGATTCAAGTTGAAATTGTTGATTAGCATAAACCAAAGATTTATTAAAATCAATTCGACTTTCTTGCCAAAATTACTCATCCCATTTGCAGCGACGGAAAGACCTCATTTTCGGAGAAGGCTTACTCCATCCGCGCGCATCCCATCTTCATCCCTCTTCGCACCTCATTCGGTAGCTTCCCGCTAAATAAATTGTGTTGTTTGTATGAAAATGTGCTACGGGCGTTACGTAATGAATGGTAATTTTTCGCGAGCGGAAAAATAAAATTACCTGCACGAGAAGAGAGACATATTTTCGCATCGCGCCAAGCGACAAATCCTTCCCCACTCCCACTTTTAGGATGTGTGCTGCTCCTGACGAGATTTACAGCTCTCATCTGAAAAAAAGAAATAGAGGACCGAATATATGTATTTATACACACTAGAGTATGTAAAAAAAATATAATGTAAAAATAAACAACGCACTGAATGCATATATAAATATGCGGATTTTATGGCGATATTGCAGGAAGTCTGTACACGAAAGGGATGATAGATACAAAGAAAAATAAGTAAGTAAATAAATAAATAAAAATGTTAACGTGGAGATCGTTTCATGGGAATCCACCCTCCTCGCAAATGGAGTTAATGAAACGAGACGATCGTCGATGAATAATAAAGCACTTAATCTATTTCTTTGACAACTGGGTATTCGTGTTTTCCTGTCGCCAGGACGAGGACGAAAAAATCCCCAAACGTTTTTTTCTCTTCTTATTCAATTGGCCGGATGGATTTTCTCATCAGAGCGCGTTTTTAATTTATGCTCAGTCGAGGAGAACAAGCTCTGATCACGTTTGGGAAATTCGAATATGGTTGAAAGGATAGGGATTCTAGGATAGGATCAATACCGCATGAAATATTCATCATTAGCGGACGCACATATCCTCTTTTTTATTCTGCTTCTGCTTCTTCGTCTACTTTGCGGGGAAAACAACAACAACGTAAAAAAAAATTGGGATTGTTTTCCAATTTTTTTTCAATTTGCAATAAAATCAAATGAACGGCGCCAATATATTTATATGGAGGATGCTGCTCCGAATGAAAACTTTTGCGAGCACAATGCAATTTCCTTTAGGAAGGGCCTCATCCTCTCTACTTTTCCCATCCACGTCGCAGCCGCAAGGAAAATACAACGCGTAATAAGCTTGTATAAATAAATAATCGGCAAACGCAAAAAAAAAACAACAAATTTTCACTTCAATTTCAGCCAAGTAGATTACGTGGCGCAACACTGTAAGTACACACTTGCAATAAGCAATATTTGCTTGTCATTGGTTCTTTTATAAAGTTTATCAATATTATTCAACGTTATTTAATATTATTACATGTATTAATGAATTGAATAATTTTATAATAATTAAATTAAGATCAATTTTACTGTCTTCGGTTTCCATGGTAACGAAAAGTCAAAGCTAGAGTTCATCTACACGAAAATAATATGTAATTTATACTTGTTATGCTATCATATTAGACACATGTCAATCATAATTTGACCTGTCAATTTAAATTTTTACTGTCATAGGTTTCCATGATAACCAATTTGGTACTTTATATTTATACGTATATCATGCATAGCGTAAAATAAACAAAATACAGTGGAACCAGGCGCGCAATCCAGGACTTCTCTTCTAATCGTCACTCGTTATGCAAAACGTCGCTCTTTAAGCGAGTCATTTTTCTTACAATTCATTTTGCTCGTTAAGCGAAATTTTCGTTATGCGAGGTGCTCGTTAAGTGAGGTTAGACTGTATCTAATATTATGAAATTAATTAAATACCAGAAACTATATAGAAAAAAGACAATTGTTACATAGTTTTATTGTATTATTCTTAATGTACAATTAATTGAACTTATTCTGATTTTATATTGGACATGAAAATTAGTGCATTAGTTTAGAATCTAAATTTAGAATCATTGTTTTTCTCTTTTGAATATTTGAATATATTTGGTGTAGGTTTCTATGAACTAAAAAATATCAAAAATTTAGGTTTAAAAACAAATTTATTATAAAAAAAATACATATACACATAAAAATACAAACATTTTGATACAAAAATAAAAAAAATTACAACAAATATTTTTAATATCTCCAGCGTTTCAACTTCATCGGTGGTTTTATATGTTCGTAGCTATCCACATCGTACAATTTCCTCATATAATCTTGAATCTTATCAATTTTTGCTAATTCCTCCTCCAACGTAATAGGTTCTACCAAATCCTCTTCCTCGTTTTTCCATAATATGGTTTTAGGTTTCTTTGCAACTGAATTTTCTGCAATATTGTCTGCTTTCCTTTTGATTCCATTCGTATAAACTACTTTATTCCAAGTACTTATCACTTTGTTTCTGCTTGCATTTTTATCCACATCATATAGTTTCTTTTCTTCCTCCTGGATTTGCTTAATTTTTCCTAATTCTTCTTCGAGAGTTATTGGTTTTCCTAAATCCTTCACCTCGTTTGTCCACAATATTGGTGGCCTCGTCTTAGGTTCTTTCGCAATTGTTTTTTCTTCAATAGTTTCTGTTTTAATTTTGTTTTCTTTCCCAAAATCATCTGACTTTTTCTGAACAAACGTTTTCTTCTGTACATTGACTACTGCTTTCTTCCTACGCATAGGTTCCTGGGAAAAGCAGACATTTTCATCTTTATTTTCACTGAGTACATTAGTAACTACTTTTTTGAAACTGATATTATTTATCTTCTTATTATTAACACTAATTTTTGGAACACTTTCCACCGATTCCTTAATCTCCATAAATTTATCGTCGTCTATCGCTTTGCAAAAGTCAAAACGTGTTTCGTGATTCACAGTGGGAATGTCCTCATCATCAATTATTTCAATAACTTCATCTTCGATGAAGTTATTTTCCTGGGATACGATATAATCTACTGATGAAAAAGTAAACTCGTCAAAGTTATCCATTTCAATTGAATATGTTTTTCACTTGTTGCTCACTGAAAGCTGCTGAAGAACTAATGTCGTTTTGCAGAAAATGTATAGCTTATATACTTGAAATGGAAGGGAATATTAGGGATTTCCAAAAACTAATATTGTTTAAGTGCAATAAAACCAGGTAAATTGAAAATTAATTGCTATTTTTATTGCAATGCAATAAAACCCTTAGCTATAAATGTATTTGCAACAAAATGTAGTTTTAAAAATATCTATATTTTATAGTCCTACCATAAAACTTTTAAAAAGCAATGTCTTCTTGAAAAATTATGTATATGTTGTGCACTTATTTTCTTTTCTTTATTGAATTAAATAATGTTTTGTGAACTCTCTTGTATCAAATAAAAAATTAAAAAATAGATATTTTTAAAATTAAATTTTGTTGTAAATACATTCATACCTATGGGTTTTATTGCAAGGAAATAAAAATAGCAATTAATTTTCAATTTACCTGGTTTTATTGCACTTATACTAATTTTTGGAAAGATTTTGGGAAAGAAAACAAAAATAAAACATATAATATTAAGACGAGGCCACCAATATTGTGGACAAACGAGGTGAAGGATTTAGGAAAACCAATAACTCTCGAGGAAGAATTAGGAAAAATTAAGCAAATCCAGGAGGAAGAAAAGAAACTATATGATGTGGTTAAAAATGCAAACAGAAGCAAAGTGATAAGTACTTGGAATAAAGTAGTTTATACGAATGGAATCAAATATTGCAGAAAAATCAGTTGCAAAGAAACCTAAAACCATATTATGGAAAAACGAGGAAGAGGATTTGGTAGAACCTAATACGTTGAAGGAGGAATTACCGAAAATTGACAAGATTCAAGATTATATGAGGAAATTGTACAATGTGGATAGCTACGAACATATAAAACCACCGATGAAGTTGAAACGCTGGAGATATTAAAAATATTTGATGTAATTTTTTTATTTTTATATCAAAATGTTTGTATTTTTATGTGTATATGTATTTTTTATAATAAATTTGTTTTTATACCTAAATTTTTGATATTTTTTTCACAGAAACTTGCACAAAATATTATTTAATTCAAACGAGAATAACAATTATTCTAAACTAATTCACTTATTATCTAATGCACTAATTTTCTAAACATAATGCCAATATAAAATCAGAGTAAGGTCAATTAATTGTACATTAGACAATAGTTTTTGTCATAAAAGATAAGGCGAATATTTTTGTTTCGTTATTTTATAGTGCTAGACCGTTTTTGACAATAAAAATTATGCTTTTCAAAATTTTATATTATATGCAAATTAATAAAAGAAAAGTTTTGGAATATTTTGTGCGATTACAAAAGGATTTAAAGCTTCAAGATTGAATGGGTTTTGCTGAGGAGTTCCTCTTGTACTCCTTTAAGAATTGTTGAAAGTAAAAAGCGAGACGCTAGTGGACAAGTGCTTATAAAACTTTCTAAGAGTTGTTCAGATATTTGAAATTATCATAATGTTGTAAGACATTATTTAAACTCAATCTTCAGATTTGATTAATCAATAAAATTTGATATACTTTATAAAAGTTCACATATAAAATTAAGAACAAGTAAAAGTTTATCAATTATTTTAAATTATGATGTTGAACTGAACTGAACTGAAAACTAATTTTCGCTTCTGCTGTTCTCTAAAATGCAAAAGCTTACAATTTTAGTTTAAATAAAAATAACATGTATGAAACTAGATAAACAAAGTTAAAGCATATGGAAATACACGAGTCATTCTAATTACTCATAATGGATTGGTAAGAATATGTATATACACATAATACAGCTTCGGGATTAAAATGCACGCAATAAAGTTTTCATTCATCCATCTGGCGTTTCCATTTGTCCCATATCCAGGTTTGATCTTGCGAAAATAAAGGTACTCATAAACCATCACATATCAAAGATCAAAGGTGGCGATATATAGTCTGCAGAACGCAAATAGATGAAGATTGAGCTGGATGTGAGATGACCTCGTTCTGGTTGGGATATGCATCGTCGTAAAAAAATATGGAAACGCAACGCACTCCACGGCTCCTGTTACATTCGTCTCTGCGTTAAAAGTTTTAGCAGTAAAACTTTGATCGCGACAGTAAAAACGCGAATCAGCGAGCGAAAAACATAATTCTACTATCAGCTCTATACAATATTACTTTATTATCCATCCAGAGAAAATTTCACTTCAATTCCTTACCATCTCTCTCTATTTTACTGTAATACATTATATTATTAAAGAAGTTTTATATCCTTTACAACGATTCCAACAATGTATATTTTATATTTACTACAATTTAACTATTTCGTACGTGAAATTACTTGCAATAGTGACAAGTTTTTGTATAAATAAAAATAATTTATCAGTTTTATTTGTATTTCTTTCTTGCGAAAAACGTGTAAATCGAAATTGTAACTTTTTTAATGTAATACCGTGTAAATTGAAAAGTATGCAATAAAAGCCTAATTGAGTTATTTATTAATAACGATATTTTTTTTCATATGATCAAAAAAAAAATATTGATAGTCAAAAAAATTGTTCCTTTTGATTAAGGTCAGTTAATTTTCAACATTTAAATTTTTTAAACCGTGCAAAAACGTGTAAAGAAAGTACCGTGTAAAACGAGGGATGGGTTATTTTCAACATTTATTTTTTTAACCGTATAAAAGCGAAAACGTGTAAAGAAAGTATAGTGTAAAAAGAGGGATAGGTATATTTCTTTAATACTTCTTTGATATTTCAAGATTTCTCTACATTTCTCTTCTTTTCTCTACATTTCTCTACATTTCTCTACATTTCTCTACATTTCTCTACATATCTCTTATTAACTTCTTAATTATCTTATCTCTTCAATATTTTTTCCACAAAATTAATTAACACGTACTTTTTTAAATGAATTCCTTTTCATTACATTTAAACGTCAATGTAAAATTATACAATTGTGATAATTTCCAGCCCCGAAATATTAACGAAGGGGAAGAGATTTCGTTATATTTCCTTTCAGTTCCTCCTTTTTTTTTCGTAAAAGTAAAATGAAAAACCCGACTCCCTCTGAAGCGTAAATAATTTAAAGTTTTTCGCGAATAGATTTTTCTTTTGTACTTCCAGCAGTCCTGGCGTGCGGGAGGTTGCATTCACGTGCGCGCCGCCCGCCCCCGGCAAGTGTGTTTAATATTTAATGTTTGTTGTGCGCATTATATTATCGCCGGGAAGGGTGGCTTCGGTGCATTTAATTCCGTGTAGTGCGAGTGTGTGTGACTTATTGTATGCCGGAGACCGGTTTCCGCATCCGGTTTCCATTCTCCGCGCGTTTCCGGTGGTGCGCGTAAAGCAGGCGACGCCTGTAGCACCAAAACCCCCCACCCTCCCAGTGCCTCCGGCACATCATTAAACTACAATAAACACTTATCGCACAAAAGCAGTTATATTGGTATGAAATATATAGTCTGCAGCCACCCGCTGAGGGGTCACACACTTTATTTTACCCCGGATTTATCGTTGCCTTCTACTCAGACCCCTCTTCTGTTCCCGAAAATGAAAAGCTTCTGAGCCGCTGCGGTCCACGTCCATACTATAAATACACAATTAATAATTTTATATGTGCCATTTCGGCTATACTCTCACAGTGCGGTAGAAATAGAGAGAGAAAGAGACGGAGATGAGAGTAGAGGTGGCGCCATGTGCGCCGAATTTCTGCAATAATCTTCTACCAGATGCCGCGCAGGCATCCACCCCCAGTCGGAATAATTGCGAAAGAGGAGACGGGATATTGTTATATTACACACTCGCACGTGCGTTTATAAACTAAACCACAACCAGAAAATCTAATTAAAACACAATGACTTTTACCCTTTTCATTCCTTCTCCAAAATGCAATTACTTATTCCTAATCTTTAAAACATTATTTATCAATTAATGAGACATTCTTTGATGGCCCTTATACAACGATCTATAGTTATACCTCGCATAGTCCGGATAATAAGATGTACCATTAATAATAAAAATGTTAATGCTTTTTGTAAGATAATCAACCTAATGTGAACATACAAGAGCTTAAATATCTTTATCTTATATAACGAAGAATGAATTTTGCATCTTACATAAATAGTAAATATTCCCATAAAATTCTCCTATAAATAGTTTTATGTCATATTGGATAATAAATATAATATAAAATATAGATATAGAATTATTCAGTGATTTTTTTGAAGTTAGGTCAAAGGTCGTTCTACTGTTATTGATTGAAAATTGTATCGTTCCTTTATAGAATAATTTTAACAATTCCGTAAAATTAAATTATTTTTCCAAAAGACATTGACTTTTGACGAATTTCGAAGAATCATAGAAAATCAATGAATCATTCAAGTGATGTTTGCTGAAAGTTCATTAGTAATTCTTAAAAAATATTCCTAATTTCTAAAAAAACAAGATTTTCTTAAAAGTTCAGAACAAAAAATCTCTTTTAACGATATTTTAACGAAATTTTATTTTTTGGACTAAAATACAACAGGAAAAGAATCAATCACCAATAATTTAATTAAGACCATTTATCATAAATACATGTAGCTCTTAATCTTGGATTATGTAATAAAAAAAAGCTGACCTGACATAAGCGCGCAGTAAAACAACCACGTCCAAATCCACTTAGGTTTGGTGATATGGGAATTAACAAATTTTCTCTAGTGTCTTTAGATAATAATAGTTGGATAGGATTCCATATTCACTACAGTGTCTTAGGTTACCAACAGCTGAACAGGGTTTATATTTTAAAAATGCATACAAATTTTCGTGTATTTGACGCGATTGTTTTACTGCGCGCTTTTATTATTGCGCGATTTTGTCATGCGCACTTTTGTCATGCGCGCTTTTGTCCTGTGCGATTTTGTTACGACGCCAAGAAAAAGAGTAAAAGAAAATAATTAAAAGTTACTTTATCAGCATTAAATAACGGAACAGAAATTATTTTTCGTTCCATCAAAACACAGAAAAGAATGACACGAGATTTCCTCTTCGAATTTAATTAAAATCCGCCATCAGTCAAGAGCATTTAGTTTGTTTCCTCTTTCCACGTTCCTGTATATATATATATTTTATTTTTAATAAAACAAACCGTGAT